TGTATTGAGATGACATTTAGAAATATATATAAAGAATCTATGCTGATCAATAAGAAGAATCCAAAAATAAAGTAATCTAAAAAAAATATAGAAGTGGATATCTATTAAAAATGAAAAGATTGTTGTTATAATTAAACCGTTGGAGAAGACTAATATTACCTTCTGTCTTATCTGAGGGTGAAGATGTTGAGCAATTTTTCCAAGGCAAACTGTGGTATTTGTGCGAATACCGCCTTGTTCGTCCTTTGACTGAAGTTTCGCAAAATATCTTAAAGTTTCGACGTTAAGATTATTATAATCTAACTTTGGCGCTAAATGTACGACCGATCTTATCGTTTCTTCCCTGATTGCCGGGTTTGTATCGAGAAAGCCCCTTGCTACCTGTAAAAAAATAACACATATTAACGTTTAATACATATACAAAAGAATGCATATTTATTGAAAACTTTATATTAATAAAGATTTGTTTATCTTTATGTGTTTTAAAGAATCATTAGAGATATGAAATAAATATAGTGCTTTATAATGTACATTTTATAATGTACATGCTTCATAAAATTTAATATCTAATAAAATGGCTTTACCTGAGGAAAAATAGCTTCGTTAACGGTAGCCGATTGCAAATGATCGACGAATCGGTCTAATTGTTGTAACAATCGTAATCTTGTCGCTCTATCATTTGACGCGAATAATTTAACAACGCAGGGTACTACACGACGCTGATACTCAGCATCGGGTAATTGAGATCCCAGTTGCAGCAACGGTGGTAACACGGCACTTCCAGCATCTCCGAATTCGAAAGCAGCTAGTAATTGTGGCAGGATCTTGTATCTGCCAACGCCATCGGGAAACGAATCCAACTGTGCTGCCAATTGTGAGAAGAATCGTCCTTTCTCGCCCCTCTCCTTCATCTGAATTTCCTCTAAGAATAACAGAGCATCGACTAGATTGTTTTTGAAGAAACCGCCGTTACTGCGACAACGCGCTATCACATCCGCAGGATTCGGTCTTCCTTCTGGATTAGCTCCTGTCAGCTCCCGATATACCATCGTTATTTGCTTAGGAATCTTCGAGAATAAAAGGTTTTATTCATGTGTCAGAGATATAGGAGACAACAATTTGACAAAAAGATGTAACAGTCTAGCATAAAACAGATAACTTACTTGACCTGTGATTTTAAGTTGTGAAGTGGTGTTAAGGGTACCATTATATGTTTCCCAGATGAGACAGCCAAGTCCCCACATATCGACTGAGCTATTTTTTATTTAATCATCAGTTTCATAATGCTAATATTAAATCTAAATGTTTACAAGCTCCTCTGCTGTATCACCTCTATTGTCTCTGCTAAGCTTATAATTTATTGGATTTGGATAAAATTAATTTAGTTATTTACCATTTAGTTGCCGGTTTCATATTCTCTTTAGCTTCTGGTGGTTGATACACTTGGAAAGTAGCAGGTAATAGATTATACAGCGTGTCCACAGCTGTCATGTATTCAACCCCACCAAGTTTCCATTCACCACTCTCTTCGTTAACAAAAACTGTCCACAGATTCACATTATTATGTCGTAAATTCCCATCGTTATTTAAGAAGTTAAGTGCCCTCTGCCATCAAATCGAAGTAATAGATTATAGATTTTTCCTGTTCAACGTGCATCATTTAGAAATTTCTGACTTGATGTATAATGTACATTTTATACATACTGTGATTTGAAATATACCCCAGGAAAAGTACAACTCCTTTTTGGATTCATTTTCAGAGTTGCATTTCTGTGTCAAACGATTATACAATGGTTCAACACGTTCTGTAGCTAAATAAACCATTTTATCAGTCTGCAAAATAATAAAATACAGATTATAATTTCTATATAAAGAGTAATAACGCTACCAGAATAAATCAATGTAATCTGTACCTCGAGGCTGTCGAGGTATGCAAGTATACTTGGGTGTCTGAGTGTTTTGAGCCTCTTGACTGCTGAACGAGCAATGTCCAACTGTTGTTCCCCTCCGTTTTTAACATCAAAGACAAAAACCGAGACATCCTCACCTGTTGTGGTACCCTGTGAAAGATCTTACGAGGATAATAATATTTTCACCAAAATAAATATTAGAAGGCAGAATAAATTTCTGCTGTATCATTAATTTGTAAATCACGAAAAGTTTTCGTTCGCATCTTTGAATTACCTTTCTTTTAGCTCTATGTATCGTCCAGATACTTTTATTTTCCAAGCCTGGGATGGGTTCTCCAATTTCATATGGAAAATCCTTGGCAGGATCTCTCGAGAAGAAAGACCACATCGCGGAACTTAATATACACCTTTATTCGTACATACAGACTTAGCTCTCAACGTGATGTATCATTGACGTACAATTGACACCGGAACTGCATCAAAACTATAAAGGTACAAAACTCGCTTTGTTCGTCGCGCATCGGAAGCGCGATCGATAGGCACACTAGTAAAAAAAAAAGGAATCAATTTTTTCTCGCGACGTTCTCTACTTGATTCTCCAACGTTTGACAAATGGGACTCCGATACGCAATTCACCGCGAATCCAAGACGGAGGTTACTTATATCACGCATTGCGAATTCGAGGAAAAAAAAACAGCAGCCGCGCATTATGAATTCGAGGAAAGAAGAAAAAAATGGTAATTAAATATTGCGAATTCAAGAAAGAAAAAATAGAAACAAATAATAAGTTTCCAGAAGTTTCCGAAGAACAAATTTATTTCAATTAACTGTATATTTCTTTAAAAAAAAAAAAAAATAGTTCTGTGCAACTAACCGGAAATCAGAAATCGCCGGAATGTCGCGTTCGGCACTACTCGTAATAAATTCTCTTCGAGCAAGATAATCGAAGGACGAGCCGAAAGAAAAGAACACTGTTCGCTCGATACCTCTTGGAAAAACTCAATTTTCCCCTTTCGTGGTCTATTGTTATACATTCATATCTGTTTTCTTTGCAAAAGTGATTAAATCCGCTTATTCGCATGTGCAAACACGTCGACTTTTTTTCCTCATGTACTCGGCCTCTCGGTCATCTGCTCGATTACATCGCGGAGGAAACACCGAGGGAGACGATTGTTCTCGCTCTCCAGAGGTCGAGATATCGTGGAATATCGCACCTCGCGCTTGCACGATGACGACACGCGCGATATCGCACGAGGCGTCATTCTTGTCTCAAGGCGAGCGCCCTGTCGATTGATCAATCATCCGCCGAGCTAGATTTCGCCAAATCGACGAAAGGCGATCCCCGAATATTTCTTTTGAGGCGAAGGCGCAAAATCGAGAGACGAGAGAGAACGCGGCGACGGCGTCGAAATAGACAGCGAAATATCGATCCCCTTGGGACAATTGGATCTCGTCAGCGTAGCATTTTCAGTTGGCGAGCGGCCCCTCAAGCGGTATTTTGCGCATGCGTACTACAAAGAAGAAACTAGAAACTTTAATGACAAATATGGGCTGCGTTCCAATATTTCACTGCTGGTACTGAAAATATATAGTTCAGGTCACGTTTATTATAGATTTTCAGTACTGGCAGTGAATATCGGAACGCAGCTATGGATTGCTCATGTCGTTTGCATTCTCTAGTATTTTTTGTACCTAAAGAATCATTTTCACCAACTCTGATGTAAAACTCTTAATGTAAAACGACCAATTATTTCAGTAGAATTGACCAATCGTATTTGTTGTTAAATTTGTAGACAAATTGCAATTTGATCAATTCCAATGGAATAATCAATTAAATTAACCGAAGCTGGTATAAGTGGCTCTAAAAGGAAATTAGCCAAATAGAATGATGTTTGTAATGACTTATGTCATCAAATGAAAAACATCCACATATAGACAGGCATTGGAAAGAAAAAACATGAGCGTAGAAAATGTAAGCATTGTGAACAAGCTTAAGTTCATTTCTTTTTTTCCCAGATTTGGGGAAATTAATCGCTCGTCTGTTGGCAGCGACGTCAGCTGCGCTGCTGTTCTCTCTCTCTTTCTCTCTCTCTCTCGCGATTACTTTCAGCACGTTAATTCAGTGAGATCATCAGCGATCGACTTGAAGCAATTTCGAAGACATTTACCTGCATCTCCACGCAATGATAGAGTTCATATTCAGCTTAGCAGATGTCTGCTAACGGAGAAAAAAAATATGCTTTGCAGCGATCAATATCAGTTTGATGATACATAGAGTTTCTGTCATGACACTGTCGTGATAGTGTATACCAAAATAAATACTTGAAGGTGAGGTGATACGAGTGGCTATCGTGAAATGACGAAAACTGATTAAATCGAAATTAAATTGCAAATTTATCTCATGTTATTAAATATAATAGTATAAAAATATTATTCGCGGTATTTTTGTTATTATATGCAGTAGTTTTAATAACAGGATGATTATTTTGTGACTGTATGTATTACATACACATGCATGCATACATAACTTTTAAGATAAAGCGAATGAGAAGCTACTGTCAGCGGATGAGAAGCTACATTAATCAGAAAAATGCCGATCGGTGTATTTCCAGCCCTCAAATTGGGCGTATTATTTATCAAACAGATCAGTAAACCTTTAGCTAAATTTCTTGTCAATCAAGCAAAAAGCCATCCCATTTTTAGAACTTATTTTATCATACCACCTGCTCAATGTAAGTGTATTCTTAGCTATAAACATTTACATTAACATGGTATTGTAAAAGATACAATTATGACTGCTTTATATGTTTATAGTTTATCATTGGACAGAGGTAAAAGCAAAGATGTATATTATGAATCTTGGTAAGCCAACAAAGATAACCAAGTTAAACGAAACTATGGCCATTGAACTGGGTGCAAATCTGATGGGCGAGTTAATTATCTTTAGTGTAGCTGGAGCATGTGTGGTATTAGAATACAACAGACAGGTCGCAAAGGAGGCAAAGAAAGAAGAACTGCGTCAGATGCAAATACAAAAGTTCACAGATGACATTCAAGCATTATATAATACTATGTTGCAACAAGAAACACGAATTCATTATCTGCAAAGTGCAATCAATGAATTAGCAAAACATACAAGACATAAGTTACCTGAGCTCCCACCTCAAATAAATAATGATGATAATAACTTAGAAGGCAACGCAAGAAAAAATAGTAACAAAGATAGCAAAAATACCACGGAAGCAAACACAGAAAACGAGAGCAACTCATTGATAGGGCGTGCCATAGTATATTATAACAAAGAATTGAAAGGAGATAAGCTTAGTTAAGCGATGTTTTATATATTCTTTGAGATGTGCACTTTGAGATATGAACTTTTTGAAATATTACAAGCATTGAGTGCTGGTATTAAAATAAGATACATTTATAAAACACTAAAATGTACATAACAAAATTTTGTCTTGTGTTGATGTATTGCAATCTATTTTTAGGTTGCAATAAATTTATATTAGTTTTGAATGAGGATTTAGATGCTTCTTATGTAAAAATATATGTAAAAATATATCGTTGCCCATATATCTAGACAATTTTAAAATAATTGTAGATATGTGTGATAATAAAATTTATACAAAAAAATTTATAATTTGCATTTTTTTTTTACATTACGTTATATTTCCTTATTATTTATTATTTATTTTTTATTATGTACATAGTCATTATATGTATAGTCAAAAACGTATGAATGCTTTAAAATTTTTAGTCTGAAAATATCGATAATCGGTAAATTATCGACAGCAAAAGTTATTATATGTATGCGTGCGCGTACATGTTAGTTATGTCAGTTTTTATATTTTATATATATATTTTATATTTAAAATTTTAATATGTGTAGTTCTTATCTTACAGAAAAATCGAGATAAAGAGATGCACAAAATGTATAAAGCGCGATTAAAGGAACACAGATATCGTATTTTTATCCGATACTTTAAATCAATATACATTCGTCCACTAAACTAATACCACGTGTATTATGTTGTCTTATGTCAAATCGCGTGGATTACAATCTTATTATTATTAAGAATGTTTATGAAGAGGAGAAGATTCAATACCGTAGATTATGAATCAACAGATCCAGGAAAGTATAAGAAGCAGTGGATCGAGATGGGCAGTAATTATCTCTTCGTTTTATTGGGATTAACTGTGCATTTGATTCTGTTATGGGGTGTGTTAGACGTTAATTTTCACTCGCCTATTATAAAAGGACTGCCAGTCGTATCGGCGCCAAGTGGGGCGCCAGCTAAAAGACTGCTGCTTTTCGTGGCGGATGGCTTGAGATTTCAGACATTCATGGAAAAACCACCGCCTTATCTCAGGTATCTTTTAAAATTCATTCTTATTGCTCAAAAAGTAATGGAATTCTCTTCTGTTATTTTATATAATCTCATGCAATTGATAAGAGTTTGTTTTCATATTTGTTTTACTTTATTCTGTTTTTTTTAGGTATACAATGAAAAATAAGGGTGTTTGGGGAATATCTCACACAAGAGTGCCTACAGAATCTAGACCAGGACATGTTGCAATTGCTGCTGGGTTATATGAGGATCCCAGTGCTATCTTCAAAGGATGGCAGGAAAATCCAGTGGATTTTGACTCTGTCTTTAATCAGAGCTATGCTACTTGGGCTTGGGGCAGTCCAGATATAATTCCGTTGTTTACAAAAGGTATTCTAAAGAAAGACGAAGCAGCATTAATTTTCATTATCTTTTACATTTATGTTAAAATTTGGAAAAGATAGGTAGCAAACAAAATGTTCATGGACAGAGTTATCCATCCACTTGGCAGGATTTTGATGCCAATTTGGGTAATCAGACAACACGCTTGGACTCTTGGGTGTTTGATGCTTATTTAGAATGGTTGCAGTCCTCATCCGAAGCAGTGAGAAATCAAAATGGAATAATTTTTTTCCTTCATTTGCTTGCATGTGATACTCTGGGACATGCTAAAAAACCACATTCTAGGTATTGCAATTAAATAATAGTTATTTGAATTATTTTTGAAGTCCAGATTTATTAATGAAAAGGAAATCTTAAAACAGAGAGTATGTAGAAAATATGAACTATGTTGATCAGAGAATTGAAGAGGTTGTGAACATGACGGAATACATTTTTGGAAAAGACACAACCGCTTATGTATTCACAGCGGATCATGGAATGACCAATTGGGGATCTCATGGAAGTGGCTTGCCATCAGAAACTGAAACGCCGTTAATCGTTTGGGGAGCAGGAGTCAAATCATCTGGTTTTCGTCAAGATGTTGAACAAGCGAGTATAACTCCTTTGATAGCATCTCTAATAGGAATTCCTATTCCTACAAATAATGAAGTGAGTGCTCGTGTAATGCATTAATTCTGTTGGATTTCGGTTTGTGTGTAAAAAAAAAAAATAGTATATAGTAAGATTTAAGATGTATAAAATAATATGTGGAATATTTTAGTTTACTTTTATTATATTTATTATAGTCTTTATTATATAGTTTTATATATTTTAATATAAAATATTTTTTTTTTAATTATTTATATAATTCAAAATTAAGAGACTGGTCTAATAGAATGTATTTTAAAAAATATTTAATACGATTTTTAATTTTTATATATAACATTAAATATATGTATTCGTGAAATATTGTATTTTAGGGTACATTACCATGGCAGTATTTCGACATGGGTTATCACAGATATGTTGCACATTCTTTACTTAGCAATGTAAAGCAACTTATGCACCAAGTAACTGAAAATCGTGCAATAAATTGTGAAAGTAATATCGACTGGCGAGAGACGCAGTTAAATGACAAAATTCGTAAAGCCGTAAAACATGTTAGGGAAGGAAATGTGATGGCAGGAATTCAAAAGGCTGATGAAGCAATTAATTTTAGCAAAGAAGCCTTATTATACTTCAGACAATACCAACGTATACGATTTTTAGTATACTTGTCGATAATGTGGATTGGCTGGATAATTATGTTATTCTTAAAAATAACTGGAGTGAAGCATCGACACGTACAGACTTCTGTATTGCTATTAGTAAATATTGGATTTGCAAGTTTACTGATAATAATGTTTATTAGACATATAAGTAAGTATGATTGCTTTTCAACGAAATAAATTAAGTAAAATCAAATTATTGATTTTACTTAGAAGATAGATATTTCATTTACGCGTTAATTTTTGTTTGCAGCATCCGATTGCAGTAACTGGAGATTACCGTGCTATGCGTCCTTCGCTATAATATCTGTCTGGCTTACCGTTGTTACTGTAATCACATCGACTCCTGTATTCATAGAAAGAAGCACGGGAGAATTATTCATAGACATTGGTGGCACACTATTTTTACTAATAATATCATTCGTTGGACTGACATATAGGTTTGCTTTCAGCATAGGAATATTGTCTCTTATATTGATACAAGTGGCAAAATCAAAAGATACTCCAGCTTCTATGGTATGGACATCAATCGCACTATGTGTGTTTTTATTATTGCCTGTTGTGGAACCATACCCACGCATTTACATTGTGTAAGTGTATAAAGTTATTCAAAAATATTTTAGAAAAAAATCATTTCCTTAAGTTCCTAAAATTCCTTTTTTTTTCTTTCTTTGTTAAAATGCGAGACGAATTTCGTGTAAGAATTGTTTGGTCGATCTGATATTTTCTTCATCTCAATTTCAGGATAATTAGCATATGTGTAGCAATAGCCATAGTGATCGTCAATACGTCGCAAAGCGATATATTCCAAAGAATAATAGAAATTCTACGTTTGATCATTACAAGTCTTATATATTTAGAATTTATTGATGGTCGAAACTGGATATCATGGATTATCCTACTGACTACACCATTGAGCATTTGGTTTTATCCAATAGAAACGACGAAAAGAATGCTGGGTGTAATGCTTGGATTTTTCTGCCCTCTTGCGTTATTATCGGCATCTTATGAACCTCTTTTCTTTGTAACACTTACAATCAATCTAATTTGTTGGTTGCAAGCTATTCGAAGCTCAAAGAATTCAGAAGAAGACGACACGGGAGACTTGATCAAAGCGGCGTTTTTTGTATCCTTTTATTATCTTTTAGAAAAATCTTTTGATCACATCTTTTGATAAGGATAATATATTTTACACCTGAATTAATAGAAATAATTAGATCAAAGAAAAATAAAATGGAAAAAATAGATTTAAGGAATTAATTTCATGGTACATTCATATCGATATAGGAACAATTACTATTACTTATATATATTCTTAACGCCTTATTATAGATGTTGTACGTATTATTGTCTTTCTTCGGCACAGGAAATATGGCGAGCATTAGCTCGTTCGATCCATCTTGGACGCGCCACTTTGTCACCGTTTTTTCCCCATTTTTAATGACATCCTTAATAATTTTTAAACTTAGCATTCCTTTGATAATAGTGGGATGCATAAGCTACTCTTTAGAATCACAAGACTATAAGAAGCCTATCTCTTTAGCCGTTCTCTTTTTAGGCGATTGTTTGTCGCTGCCTGTAATGTATTGTGTCACACCATATGGCAGTTGGCTTGACATCGGTAGTGCTATCAGTAAATTCATTATCGTTATTTCTCTTCCCTGTCTTTTTGTACTGTTACGATATCTTTCGCGTCCACTTATGAAATTGAACTTGGAACGATTTCGAGTTAATCTGCTGTCTCAAAAAACACATATCGTGTAGATTTCTTAGACATATAAAGTTATTTAAAAAAATTTATAAAAAATTATTAAATTATTAATTTCTATTGAAATTATTTTTTGACAAGGCATTTTATCTTAGAAAAATAAGCATATTTAAGACCAATAAAAATAAATATACCAAAGTATAAATATTTAATATGTGAAATTTAAATGACATGAACAAAATATTATTTAATTTTACTTAAACTTAATAGCGACTAAGATTGTTAGGAGGAAATTGCCAACAGGCAAAACATTCATGTTTGTCATTGTCATTTGAAATGTGTATTTAACTAAAAAATTGAATAAGTGCATCTTAGTGTATGTATATATATTCGAATGAGATCTACATTCTCTTGTGTAATCTACATTCTCTTGTGTATTTGTATTACATAAAAATAGATAATTATTCTAATTGGAAAATATGCAATTATTCATAGTGTTACCATTAATACAGTGTCTATCAATCACTCATGTAACATGTAAACATGAAATATAAAAGTCATTTTTAAGCGATATAACCGTTTCATTGTTAATATTATATTATATTATATTAAGCCTAATCATTTTTTCATATTACCTTAAACAATTTTTTAATTCCTATAATACAGTACACATAATTGAGGAAATAATACAAAATTTAAAATTTGAACTCTTTATATTTCTTAGATGTCTTTGTATCCTGGATTTGCTGACGTTTACGTTTGCTCTGAAACAAGAACAGAAAATATTTACAATTTAAAATTGATATACACTAACATATACACGTATATAACAATTTGCAAATAATAATACAAGCAGAAACAAGAAGACAATTTTATATTAAAAAGTTGAGAATGCAGAATTCTTTTGGTATAATGTTATTTTTGAGAAAATCAATCTTGAAATCGGAATCTGATATTTTTTTCATTAATCCTTTAGTACAGAACATTTAGTATAGAACATCATTGTATCTCTTAGAGGATTATATCTTTTAATATACCTTCTGTCGTTGTACATGATCTTGCAGCATATCTGATAAATCTTCTCTTCTAAGATGCGCTTGCCTAGATCTCATTGTCTCTTCATACCTGGACGCCATCGCCTCGGAGTCCAAGTCCAGCTCGCTGGGATCCAGCGTCAATTCTACCGCACCGTCCTTCTCCGCACGAGCGTCGCTAGCGCTGCCGCTGATAGCACCGCGACGTGCAGCGATCACGGACGGTGGTGCCTGACCACCAGCCGCACCGGTCATATCATACACATGGGTGCTGCCCATCATACTGGCACCTAGACCTTCTGTACGTCGTTCCTGAAGTACTGTATAGAGCGCGGGCGTGTCACCGCCTTCCATTTCGCTCTCGATTTTCTTCTTTCTCAGCTCAATGGTCTCCGGGGTCTCCAGACCCGCTGGAATCGACGTGATACCACTCGGCGTGATCAGGCCTTCGGCACCAGGAGTGACTAGTCCACTGGCATCGCCATCTCCATCCTTTCCTTCCTCACCACCTTCGCCACCCTCCTCGGCATCCTCGTCCTCATCCTCCTCGCCCGACGATTCCGATTCAGGTTCGCCCCACATTCCTCGGTCTACTTCCTCGTCCATCGCGTCCGCGCCAGACGTACGCGATATACCAAATACATCTCCGTACAGAGGTCTTCCAGTTTCGTCCACCGGTGGTTTTCCCCATCCACCAGCATGATAGCCAAAAGCGCAACCTTCTGGGATAGGTGCGTTCAAACCAGGTATCTTGAGATTTGGATAACTCGGCGGCGGGCCGTAACGCTGCATAGCTATGAGCCACGGTGGCGGTACCTTCTGACAATTTGGGCCCACCGGCATGCCCAGGGCTGTGCGTAGCTCGTCCGACAATTCTCCGGGCTTCTTCTCCTTCAAACGCGTTTCGAATTCCTTGCCCTCGTAATAGAGATCGCCGTGGATCGTCATGCGCGGTTTCGTCTGCCATTTGAAGAACGCGTCATGCAGCTTTTGATAGTCGATGTCGATCTTGCCCAACTTTGGTCGTGCCCGTTCCCGCATCTTCGCCTTCAACGTCCGCGTATCGTCACGCTCTTGTAAACTCGCCCTCATCTCCGTAATACCAGTGCGCTTTATAAAGTCTGGTAGATCGAAGGGTGGCTTCTCTATGCCCCGCTTGCCTTGAAGATATTTGCGTTTGAAGCACCAATGCCTCGGCACTGGTACCGTGTTTCGATGCGCCTTCAGCTGCACGAGCAGCTTCGGATCGCGCGCGGTAACGTCGTGCATCTCTACGACATCAGGACGACCTACCAATTGCTTCAGCTCTGCCACACTCAGTCGCGTCAGCCTCTTGAGCTTACGTTTGGACAGACGCGGCGCGCCATTTTCTCCAGTACCCTGTTGCTGCTGTTGCTGATTCGCCTCGTCATCAAAATCATCCAACAATGGTACTTTACTTGGTACTCCAGTGCCGGCAGCTTGTACGTTTGTTACTGGTGGGTATTGTCCGATAGGCTCACCTTTATCAGTTGCGTCATTCAGACTTGGTTCTGGTTCCACCAGCTTGAACGCCTCAAAGACTCGAACAAATTGGCGATACATGGGCTCCAGGTCGGTTATGCTTGGTATCTCCTGTATATATTCTATTTCTGGCATGTCCTCTTTATTCTTGGCTTCCTCTGCATTATCCTTCTTCTGCTCAGCATTCTTTTTCTCTGTATTGTGCCTCTTCCTCTTTGACTTTTTCTTCTTTTTTGTTTTACTCGATTTGGATTCTATCTTTTCTACAGCTGGTTCTGGTTCTGTTATGACATCTTCTATCTGCGGTACATCCTCGCTGTCGTCCTTTGGTGATTTATTTACGGAAATAACATCATTGGGATCTCCTCCTACTTCTTTAGCCCTTTCTGTTTTAAATGCCAGGGCTTGCTCCAAAGCAGCTGGTAATTTCACAGGACCACCGTCTCCTTCTCCAACTCCATTGTCAACATTCTGATTTTGTAACTCTGATGGAGGTGCCACCTTCAAGCTCAGCAGACTTGGAAGAGTTTTGGCATCCATGCCGAACGACTAAAACAAACTCTGTTTAGAATGACAGATAACACACATTGAAAAAGGAGATATTCCTCCAAATTAACCATTTCATTCATTTTGTTACTTGAAATCAATGATTTACTATTAACAAATCTAAAGTAAACGAATTATCATTTGAATATATCTTCGTACCTGTGATCGTGTGTCGAAAAAGTAATTAATAAATTGCGCACGCGCGTAAATTCACACGTACGTAGTCCTTAATTATATGTTATTTTTCGTTAAAACATTAAAATCTCACTTCCCGGCAACTTCTAATTCCTCCTAATATAATCTCTATCCTTTCTCTTCTTCCTTTCTCTTTATACAATTCTACGTGATCTGTGGACGATACACAGATCATGGAACATGCTAATTATCAGATTGAAAACTGAAGAAATAAATAAGCTGAAAAGCTATTGGTTAGACGCTAGGGAATAAAGTCTAATAGCAGCCAGAAAATGCAGCCAATCAAGCAGCATCTGGCATGAAATGTAACAATATGGCATCAACGTGAAGTTGGTAGCAAATAGACTATATTTCGGTAGCAAATAGACTATAGTTCTACAGATTGTTTTTTAGATACGTTTTTTAAATATTTACCACACAATATGTAGTTTTTATTTAAATTTTTATTACATTTTTATTATTATCAACTATTTAATTATTTATTCAAATAATAACTTACCTAATTAAATTTAGCTAGCTCTATATATATATATATATATAAATATTATATATATATATATAAATATTATATATATATATATATATATATATATATATATAATAATAATAATAATAATACTACTACTACTATATAGTATATATATATATATATATATATATATATATATATATATATATACATATATATATATGTATATATAGATAGCCATCCGCTTAATGCTCTTTATGAAGGTATATTGGTCATCTATGCCCCATCAAATCTGAAATTTGAATTATTAGAGGGTGTAAATTATTACAGAATGAAATCTTGTATCGTGCAATTACACTGATGGTTCCGCTATATTTTGCATAAGATTACAACTTATTGATAAATCTCACTGTACGCGATTAATCAGATTAAGTGAACAAATTATAATCGGAAATCAATCTCATTATATTTCGCGAGTAATTCTTATATTGCAAAATTTCATTTAAAAAATTTCATTGAAGATAGGCGAATTCTATAAGATCAAGTCGCGACATTGTTGCGCGATCTATTTGTAAAGATTTTATCTGAAAATGAATTCGTGAGAATTTTAGGACTCTTACAAATTTTCATACGAAAGAAAGTACGTCTACATTCGCGAGTCACGGATTTCTATCTATGGTAACGATTGTGGGTCGGTCTTGCGGTTTATTCAAGTGAAAACATCGCGTTCAATCGCGTGGTAGATGTTTCGAAGAGATTCGGTCCGATCTCTTCCCCTTATCCTCTATAGTACCTCCTTTTGCTATTTGTCTGAAAGGAAAGGAGAGTGAGAGAGGGAGGGAGGGAGGGAGGGAGGGAGGGAGGGAGGGAGGGAGGAAGAGAAAGAGAGAGTCACGAACGAATCTCGCGAGCTTTTGCGCGCGAATATCTTGAGCGTCTTTTCGCGAGCCGCCGCAGCTCCTCCAGTTTGCAAAGTGCGGCGAAACGAGGGCGAATGCTAAATTTTCGCGAAAAGCTCCGTCGAGCTGTTACAAGAAGGCACGACGAGTATGCGCCACGTTTCTTGTTGAACTCGACGAGAGATAAATTGCAGGTTTCTGCAGCCATGGTCAAAAGGAAAAGAGCACCTTTAATAAACTAGTCAATCTTCGCAAATTAAGAAGCGGAGTTAGTTTCGTCGCTGAATTGTAATTAAAGTTAGCTTGCTAATAAAATATTTTTGTTATTTCTATTGTTCTGTACCTAAATTCGTATCTCCATCTTAACTACTAAAAAATTAAGTATTAATTTTAAATCAAACAAATGTGATTATTAATAAAAAATTATGAGATAATTGAAATTATACCACAATTTGCCTTTACAAATTTGCCTTTACTTTTGACTAAGCCTGTAGTATTTGCAGTCATGTCTGCTCTCGCTTTTCTCTGAATACTCATTGTTTCTCCTGCTACAACAAATTCACGGAATACGTTGCAAATCGAGTTAATATTGGGAAGCAACTGCGTTGGTTCGCGTTTAATTCAATCATCACAACCTATGTAACCTATGTTCCTAGTGTCGCAGAGAACCATGTTTGGTCTACATTGTTACTCTCTATATAAATTAAACAGAATATACAATGGTATATTTTATCAATCAATACTATCAAATGCATACATGGTAAGCAGAGAAAAACGAAATTATTTCAACGTGGCTTGTAAGATAAAAAATTAATTAATTCTCGCCCCTGATGTTTAACCCAGTATGGCTTGAGTGAGAAAATCGGAACCTTGAAGTCCCGGAGAAAATCAAATAGGGGTCTCAAGATAATCCCAAGACATTCTGGAGTAGCGGCATCAGGTGCCGCGACTATGCGAACTACATACACACAACGAAATTCTGTCACGCTCGCGATAAGCCGGGCGCCTTTCCTCATCAGCATGATAAATAAACGCGAAAGTAAATACAAGTGTATCGCGACTAGTGAATATCCCCCTTAGATCGAGATAAGCGCGCTTGAAATACACTTATCTGTCATCGGGTACATAATCTCCGCTCTCTCTCTCTCTCTCCCGACCAAGATGAGCTCAAAGTTTCTTCGCGCGCAAGAGAGAAAGAGAGAGAAATAAAGAGAGAGAACAGATATCGTTATCATAGAAATCGCGACATTACGCGGCATATGGCCGCACTGTATTAGTAAGCAGAGACCGGAGAGAGCACATCGGATTTTCATCGTTTTCCTCTTTCTCCTTCGTTTCGCTCTCATATTACCCCGCGTCTCCAACCCCGATAACTTTCCCTGCATGTCTCGAACACCTTTTTTACATCTCCTCACTGCCTTACCTCGCCCGTAACGGCAGCGGCTCTTTTGTCGGAAATTTATCCACTCAGATATCGGCCGTGTTCTCGTAACTCTTGGATTTCCAGCCGTCTTTTCTCTTCTTTTCTTTTTTTTCTCTATCTATCTCCACTACCATCTCTCTTTCTT